GTCAAAATTTTTATCACCAGGCCTAGGTGTGTAACCCATTCCGGGTCCAAGCTAAGTCCATAACAAAAATATTCATGTGGTAACGACCATCTTGCTAAAAAAAAAAAAAAAAGGTCAAAAATAAACTACTCACCTGAAATAGCGTATTGTACTTAATTTTGGTTTTTTGAGTCAGAAATATAAACGCTTCTTTAATCGTTTCATAGAGCGCGCCAACACTCGTAGCGTCAATATCATAAGGATTTAATTTTATTGATTGCATGGCAACATCCATATTATTTAATTTTGTTGTTTGAACAGTCTCTGGTTTTTTTTCTCGAGCAATATCATCAGGTTCTTCAATCTTTATAAAAGTTTCGAGAGTAGTCTTATTTGCTTTTGAAAGATGGACAAGAATTGTGCCTAAATTAGGTAAATAAATTTATTAATACTGTTTACATGGCTTTAACTAATAAATAATAAGCATCGTATATATTATTTTCTTTTCAGCTCATTATGCTGATGACAAATACATTTCATTGAATATGTTATTTTAATAACAACTTAATTTTACAATGAATTTACAGATATTTTTAAATTATTCAACAAATATTATTTACCTTGACTTATATGTGGAAGAGGGTTTGGATAATAAGGAATCATTTCTTGGGAATAAAGTATGGGTTGTCGTCCTATGAATAAGTCAAGATTATATTTATGCGTTAACATCTGGATTAAATATCACTGCTAAAAGGAAATTTCGTTATTTTTCATTTTATACCAATGGCAGTAATAAGATTTGCCACAAGCGATAAATGTAGCATTTCCTCCGCAACGACATGCCGAATTTGACGTCTCACTTCATCACCAATTTCTGTTCCAGGTTTTATCGAATACATAGCATAAAGGTATGGTGGAATATTAGTGAGTTCGATCTTCATCGCAATTTTAAGCATCTCATAGAGCTGAAACATAATACCATTAGTCTATATAGTGCTGCGACATGAAATAAGTATTTATTAAACCATTAAAATAATTTACCTCATCTAGGGTCGGGGTTGTTATCTCTTTTATATTTATTTTGAAAATTTTGTCACGTTCAAATTCAAAGAATGCTTTGTCTATTTGTTTGTTATTTATATTTCTTTCGACGATAAAACCTAACCTATTTTGTTCAAAATTGATAAAACAGTTTCGGATTATATCAAGTTGTATTATATTTTAAAATTACAATACACTGCTAACTTGCCTATCCCATTTCCTAACCATATCCATGTCGCCCCATTTGGGCATGCCTATTCTTGGTTCATCGGTTTCAAATCCACGAGTCCAATCCTCAAAGTATTCTAACCTAACACCATACTTTTTAATGTCATCTATTCGTTTCTAAAGTTTAAATAATTAATTATATGTATTCTTTTGTCAATTCGTTAATTTCTGCTTACATACTTCTGGAATTGTTACGTCAGGTCTTTGAGCTGGCCACCAAATTGTTTTACATTCGTAAAAATCTGCTTGCCAAGGTAAAGCCAAATATGCATTAATATCTCCAGGTCTTATATTTTGGGTATTGATTCTATGTAATACAATAATAAGAGATATATCAAAATATATAATATGATAGATTAAATTTTGCATAAAACATACCTGAAATCATGTTTTTTAGAGAATGTATTTTTGTCATAAGCGATAAAAGTCATTTCAATTCCAGGATGTAATCCACCTCCAACACTCCATTGAAGTGCAGCTTTGTTGAGACATTTGATTTGTTTATGAACATCACAAACAACCTCTTCAAATTTTTTCTTCTCGCCATTTTCAACATATCGAGGATTATCTTCTTCATTCATTTTAAATTGGTAAATGTATTCTTTTTCCGGCTGATTTCCTTTCACAAAATCTCCATCAGCCCATTTTTGCAATAAGCTTATAAAAAACAATGTGTTAATTCAGGATAAATGTTATTAAAATAAACATAATTAATAAATGCTCACAGATATTGACCGCGAGTGACAGTCAAATATGTATTTGGAGCAGTAGGCCTGGCAATTCCACCATCTCCAGATAAAGGTGGCATAAAATAGTCATAAGCTTGACCGTTAAATTCAGCCGGAGATGCTAGATATTTAGGTATTCGAACACGAGAGAGAATGTTTCTCCTATAATATGACAATTGAATTAAACATTAATAAACTAAAATATTATGACTTCAAAATGACCAACCTCCATTCTTCATTTTTATTATCTTCATCTTCATTTTTTCCAGGAGGATTTTGTAAATGCTTCTCTATGTCGGGATTTAAAAAGTCACCTTGCTTATGCAAGCCATGACCATTGAAGGCATTCTTATTGACCCATGAATTCCTACAAACAGCTTCAAATATCGGCCGGATATCTCGAAAATAATTTACCTGTAAGATATCAAAATAAATAAATAAATAAATAAATAAGCAAACAAATAAATTAAAATAAAATTAAAAAATAAAATAAATAAAAAAAATATAATATATGTGTATAATATATATGTAGTGTAGTGATGCCGTAGAATCGTCCCAATTATTACCGTTTCTTGCCGTAACTATAGTAAGTTACTATAATGCCTTAACTTACTATATTGCTTATTGTGGTTATTGCAAGTTACGGAAAGTTACGATAATCATTGGGACGATTCTACGGCATCACTAATGTAGTGCCCCATATTGAAATTATTTCAATTCGCAATGAATAAAATAATCCGAGTTGATTAGTATAATCCGGACCAAAATTCTCATCTGGGGTACAAATATATATTCCAAAAAATTTCATTATATAAATAATATTTAGACCTTTTTATTTTCTTCAGTAGCTGGATTATCTAGATCGAATACAACATCTGGATCGATTAGATGCTCCGGATCAACAGGATGCTGCGTTTCTGATATAATTTGATATAATGAAACCAGGTTAGGAATACCCGGTGCGTATTTTGGAGGCGCAACAAGGACCCATGATTTGCTCTCTAGATTTATCAAGTACATATATGTCAATAATCACTATATATTACGCTATAAATATTCTTTTTCCTTACGCATGTACCTCTTTTGGGATCGATATCACCGATATCAACGATATCATCGATATCATCAATATAATCGATATCATAGAGCGGTTTTCCATTAATTTTAACAGTAGCATATACAGAGCCATCAGAAGTGTCATCGTACCAATAATCGTTGTTTGCATATTCAGTGATTAAGCCACCTGTGGTACAAATTGCTATAAGCAACAGATAAAATATCGATATACTTTCTATATGAACAAATACTAACCATCTTTGATACATCCAGACTCTCCTTTTCCACCAATAACTAGCAAACTTCCTGTTTTTTCAAGTATTATTTTGCCTAATCTGAGTTTCTGTCCGCTCTTATCATCGTTGCTATGACGATAAACAAATGCCTCTAATTCTTTTTCGGCCGGTAATTCTTTTATTTTTTGGTTTATATCAGATTTATCAGATTCTGTTTTTGGTTCTTCAGCAGACAGACTTTCCTTTGCAATTGCCATTAGTGTAGACCTGTCATAAGGCCAATCTAAAGATTTTTTATAGAATTTTATTAATATTTTGAAGTTGAAGGATACGTATAATAAACTATATAGTTATAATTACATACTAGCATTTCGTTTAGGACCACTTTCTTTATATTTCAAGATACCATCAAATTTTGTATGCGCTGCCTTTTTATTAGCAAGTTCGACAGTCCAAGTAATTTCTATTTTCACGCCAGCAATATCAGCCTCTGTAAGTTTAATTTCCCGTTTGAGTTCTTTATTTCTATCATAACCATAAATTCGGAACCTTGCTGCTTGTGGTTTTACTCTTTGTTTCGCATCCTTGAAGCGGAAGGATTCATTTCCCTCTATATTACAATAATTCCAGGATAAAAGAACGTAAGTAATTATTTGCATAAATATAATTAATATGTAAATATACCATAATTTATAATTATATGGCTAATCAATAGCAATTACATTATGAATTGCTTTCTAATTGCTATAACTTTTATATAAAATTTCAACAAATCTCCAAAAGTTTATTGGTTCATTTTCACAAAAGGTTTTATATATCATGTAATCACGTACCGTATACTATAGACTCAAATAACGCGCAAGTGTGTAATTTCAATTTTTAGCATAAATTAAGCTTAATTAAGCTTAATTCGAGCATTATTTAAAATAACGCGCCTGGGCATTATTCCGAGTCTATACAGCAATTAGCAATTATAATTTTTCATAACGTACTTCCAACATATACTCCGGGAATTTCGGACCCTACATAATACTCTTCAGAGTTACCAACACGTGCAACATTGAGAGCTGGAAAAATTGCAAAGAATTTGAGATTTGTGTAAACATCGGAAAGATTTTCATTAGACATAGTGTATATATAAAAAAGAGTGAGATTAAAAATAATAACTGCGCAAGAAATTTAAGTACGAACAGCAATGTGCCGTGTGTGTGAAAATGATTATCTATATAGTAAAAAAATATATATATTACAAGCGAAGATGTGGCGCCACCGGCGCCCTATTGTGTTACTTGTGTCAATGTTGGTCAAATTCATTAATATATGTCAAATATGTATGATTACGTTATTAATTAATAAAAAAAAGTATTGACGTATGTTTATATAGGAATAATCCAGTTTGATGTATTAGCATTAAAATCATTAAGTTGGAATATGCAATCAGCAATTTAATAGTTTTAACAATCCATCCAATCCAAAGTATAATAAAATTACTCAGAATCATGTGCTGCCCGTCCGATTAGAATAAAGAATGTAACCAACAGCAAAATATAATTGTATCATCTTTACTTAAAAATAGTTACGTTCTTGATTCTATTTTACTTCTAAGTATAGTTATATTGATAGTTCTCATAATAAATTAAGTAAATAGATTTCTCTCAATAGAATTATAACATTTAAATTTTTCACGAACCCACGCCAATTTATACCAGTACGATCATATGAAATATGAGAGGGATGGTTCTGTTCAACTTTTTTGAAGCCTATATTTTTTCCTG